GCCCGGGTGCGCGCTGCTGGCGGTGCCCGAGGCAGAGCCGCCGTTGACGCTGTCCCCCTCGGACCCTGCCCGTCTTGTCCGTTGGTTCGACCGATCTAAAAGCGGTAGTTGTTCCCTTATGGAGTAGGATCGCTTGAAAAATTAAGTACGATTGAAAGGGAGTACCCAGCCTTAACTAATTCCTTCTCTTCAAGAGCCTAAAATCTTGACTGTAAACACCAGTCAGCTTTCAAAAAAAAAGCAGGATCCTGTGAGCAGGATCTGACCAATATCTGCTGAAGGGAGTTACGTACGCTCAGAGGGCAGCCAGGAGGGACGAGACAGAGGACACCATGGCACAAGCAGGGCCCACGGTCTGCATAGGTAGATTTGGGGTGCTAACAACAGGGTTCATAAGCAGCCCCAGACCAGGTGAGATGGTGAAACAGGTCCAGGGCCCATCCAAGAAGTCCAGTCAAGAGCAGCGGGAGATAAGGCCAAAAACAGGACCGGAAACAAGCTACAATATAAATCCACGGTCCGTCTAAGAGACAGGGCCAGAGACAGGACTAGAGTCAAGGCTACAGTGTTGGTCCAAAGTCCATTGAGTGGGCAGGGCTGGGACCGGGGGTAGATACACCAACAGCACAGCTCAGGTAAGGGCAGGGTGCCCTTGTCCAGTTGATGGACTTACTTCTTCTGTTTTGTTGAGGTGTTCTTGTACCTTTAAAGAGCATTTTTCTCATTTTCCTCTTGTTTGTAATAGTTGAATTGATAAATAATTTCTAACTTGCACTTTTGATTGACTTGAGTGACTGGATGAACTGATAATTTTTTTTCTATGCTTAACATATAGGTATATATATATATAGGCTTTATTTTCTATCATAACTATGTAAACATATAAAGCTTTAGGTTTTCTTAATCTGCTAATATTATTATTGCATGAAATGGTCTACAAAATGTCCCAGTATTAGTGAGAAAGAGACAGAAAGGACAAACTATAAACCTTGAGTGTTTTTAGCAGATATGTAAATCCACATCTGTTATCTACACACATCAGTTGGACTGATCCCAAACAAGAACTAAAGCGTAAAGGTCCTGGAGCTAGACAATGCCCCAATTTAAACTTGGTTTGGTCTAGCTATTTTCAATTGTGAAAAAAATTTCTCAAGTGGAAATAATTGATTTAAAGACTGACGGAATCGCTACCAGGCTGTAAACATGTCAGCATAAATTTTACATTAGCACCTATGGTTTCCAGTTAGGTTTCCTGGTGCTATCTCTGGCTAGAATAGAGGCACTGTTAACAGTGTTGGGGAACATTTGGGCCTTTGTTGAATTCCTCATTGCCCATCTGCTCTTCTTCAGTTTTAAAAGAATGAAGGGCATAAATAGCACAACAAATCTCTGGTTTTCTGTTTTATCACTGTAACAGGGAAATGAGTAGGTCAGAATGATGTCAGTTGAAGCTCACCTGAGTTTCATCTCTGAAAGAAAGCAGATACTGGGTACTAGCAAAACCTCCCAGACTTTTGGCCATTGTATTTTGTTTCTCTGACTGCTAGGCAGTTTGCTTTTGCATCGCGTTTTCAAACAAACACCCCCCTGGCCCCAAACAATACTTTTAAATGCTAGACAACTGCAAAAACAGCTGGACCAGAAATATCTTAAATCTCACTTCAGCCTTTATGTGACAAGGAGTTTGGATTTTGTAGAAGTAAGCTTTCCTTTTGCAATATATATATATATTTTTTTACTGAAACATAAAATTCCTACACTTTCTACAGCTCAGTGCTATCAGTATCAGTGGTACAGAGATGTCTGTAATTGCTTAAAAATCACTAGTGTGTTTACCCCTGACTTAAGCAAGACTAAGATTTTACCCTAAACGGTCAAGATTTTTGTGTTCATTGGCATATTCTCTAAGCCTTCTCCGAAAGATGGCAACATTTTGTTAAGTATTTAAGGACTTTTTCTTTACTAAGTTGTTAGCAGTCCTGGTAGTACACAGGAACTTTTACTAGGGCTTGAAAGGGTAAGCTTGTAAGAGCCCTGACTGTATAGAAGAGCAGATGGGAAAGCATTGTTTGCATAGAATGACTGTTTCTGCAGGGTTTTGATTATAGTTGGAAAAGTATTTTAAAATGCTGCCTTTAAGATAGATACATTAAGATAAATTAAGTATTTTAAAATACTGCCTGAAATTAACTAACTGGAGATTTTTATGATAAGAAGCTTTCAGGTATCATGATCTGACTTTAGTTTGTTTGCCACCATCATTGATGGAATACGGATTGAAACTGTATTAGGTAGGAGTGGGATTAATAAGGACATACACAGTAACTTCGTTTATAGAAAAAAAATGGTTTGGCCTTAAATTAACTATACTCATATTTTATTTCACAGTTCATATATGCTGCAGGACCAAGGATCAGCACAGATTGCTTTTGGGTCTCAAGTGCCAGGAGATCAATAGCCCAGTCTCATTTGTGTAGTGGGTTGTCATTCAGTAGTGCTAGACAGAGCCAAACAGAACCGTTAGGCTGAGGAAAATGCTTATTTGCAAGAAAGGTCACTTCATTACTGTAAAATATACTTTATTCCTTCCAAACTTTCAGTTATTGGAGAGAAAAGTGAAAATGTAATGTTAAGTACTTAAAATATGTTTTCCAAATCCTTTTCCACAAAGTCATGCTGTGATGTTATAAGTAATTTGTAAACTGATGTTTGGTTTTCACAGAAGATTTCAGACATGAGTTAAAATAATTCTAGTGGTGCAGTGTTGTTATTGGCAGAATTTTAAGGTTACTTGCAACTCTAAAAATGTTGAGTATATTCTTGTTTGTTAGGTCCAGCATAGTTTGGGACAGTTCTGTGTATACAGTAAGACAAAAAAGGAAAAATATAATTGAGCCTTCCTATCTATCATTTAGTTCTATTCCTGCTTGCAGCATTTCTCATTTAGTACTTACCTTGAAATGTTATTCTTCCCCATTACTGTTTTTGTATTTGCAACATATTTGACATGTAAGAGAACAACTTCCTGCTCTGTACAGATAGCACATTGTTACCTAGGTAGTATGCAAAAAGAGAATGGGATAATTAGCGAGATAGCAGGGTGAAGCTAACTGTGTACCTAATTAAAACAAGGTTTTTAATTATCCTGCAGGCTTTTGTGCCTTCCTGTAGCTATTTTTCTATCCGCTTGGTAGAAAATTCTGGTGGAGTAGCTCAGGGACCATGTTATACACTATTTGGCAGTATAAACACAAAATTAATGAAAGTAGATCAGAATGAGCAAGTAGGCCTGTGGGGCACTCAGTGAAGACAAGGCACTTAAATTTGATCCATCCTTTAAGGAGATTGATTATTGCTTACAGATTACTTTAAAAACTTGAGCATATATGCTGTTTAAGGGAGAACTACCCCTACTATTAAAGATTCCAAAATATTTTCTAGCAATGAATGGGTAGAGAGGAAGGAATATAAATTGTAAGAACAAGAGATAACACTGTATTTCGTATATCACTTGACAGGAATGAGAGGGAAACCAGCTATAGCGTTTCAGCAGCAGAGGGGTTTCTAGAACTTCAGACCCTCTGCTGCTGGAAAGCACCTTGCTTATTAGTTTGTCAGTCAGTGATTATTTATTAAAAAAAAAATTTTTTTTGGAAGAACAGCATTAGTCCCTGTTTTTTGGGGGTGTCACTGTGGGTATGTCAGTGAAGAGAACTTCAGTATATTTACTGACATATATTGGGAGGATATAAAATTTGTGGCAAAGTACGAGAGGGGAGATCTGTCCTCTCTGTAGTCACACTCAGGTGTTGGCATGAAAGAGAATTTAAAAAACGGTCCTTTCCTAAACTGCTTTATTATAGGTCAATCTGGGAATTAGTTGAAGCTTGAAAGTCAGTTGTAATAAACTCTGCTTTGCTGTTATTTAACTTCTTCTAAAGTATAATCCAGGATTCATCGCTGATAACATGAGGTCTTGTTTTTTTTTTTCCTCTGGAATAAAATGTGGGAATATTCCAAACTATACATTCATCTGTAACTACCTTCACGCTTGCCATGCAGTTTTTCACAAAATCATACATCTTGCCTCCCCATCCTTTCTCAAAGCTCAGGTCTACTGTTTGGCCTTTGGATGACAGTCATCAACCACGCTGCAATATTCCTAAGTAAATCTCAACAAACCTCAAATAAAATGAATAGCTTGAAGGTTTGACTGGCATTCCCTGTACAGTCATTTTCATACGTGTCCAAAAGTTTGGATTACATGTGCATCTAATGTGGGTTGTAAATCCCTTGAAGTGAAGATTAATCCTTTTTCTTTATATGCAGCACTGGAGTATGCCCTCAATGCTCCACGAAGACTGCAGTAACTATTGCTGTACTGGAAACATTTCACACGCACATGCCTTTAAATAAAATAGTTTTATTCTCCAGATAAATAGTAGACGGTTTATATCCTTCAGTTTCTTCTACCGTAGCTTCTGAAAATCTGGAAGCTGTAATATTTTGAAATGATAGCAAAGATGAAATGTTAATCTCAAACCTGAAATTTCAGTCTGAAAAGGTAAGAAAGTAACTTCAGCAAGCAGTGCCTTACTGAAGAGGCAGGTGCTTTAAGAATGTGAGCAGTCATGATAGAGATATTACGTTCCAGAGCTTGAGATATCTGAAGGAATATATCTTAAATTTTATAAATGTTTACTAGCATATGTAAGTAAGCTAGACCTTATAAAACATTTTAGATGTACACGTCCTCTGAGTGTGTAGGCAATTCTGAGAAACTGTGCCAAAAGCTATGAACATGTTCTCTTGGCTTAGCTACATGGGAACCATATTAGACTCAGAAAAGCGTTTCAGTAGCTAATTTATGGAACCTTAGTAAACATTTCAATGAATGTAAAGAAAATGTATCTATTACAGATGGACTGTCTGGAGAATGTTTTGCTGTGGAGCCAATGGGAAACCACTGAAGTTAACAGAAGATCTTACCTCATTGTATTTGGTTTGTATCCTGAGAGTGATATTACTAAATACATGATGGCCTTTCTCTTAAAGGAATGTAATCCATTTTATGGGAAGAAACAATGTTACGTAGTCTGCAGAGGAAAGAGCTGCACGTATCTGAATAACAGGTTTTTATTTTACATTTCTTAGCTATTCAGCATCTGGAGCAATTTTAAGGCTCTTCTACAGTCATTTGAGAAAGAGAAATCTGTTGCTTTTGACTTTTATTTAGTGGTGCTTATGGGGTAAATGTTGCTCTTTCATGAGCAAATTTGAGGATCAGTTGAGAGGGAAAATTGCAAATTTGCTCTGATATAAGTGAGACCAGAATTTGGCTTGCAGTGCTTCAGTCGATCATATTACTGCTGGCTTTCTGTTTCACTACCTGGTAAGTTTTTCAGTCGTTCTTTTATAGGTTTCAGGCTGCAGAGATGTTACCTGAGCCTCTGTTACAAGTTTTTGGACTCCTATTAAGAGTATGTTATCTAAATTACTTCAGAGAGGTGTTTCATTTCCAAAATGTTGATGCTGTCTTCATTTCTCCTGTAAATTAGACTGTAGATTGTTGAGATAGACATATATTATTTAGATTTTCCTTTTTAGATCATCCTTACTCCTGAGCATCTCTAAATATTACCAGAAATTACCAAGTCTCTGTTTTATAGGTGAGGGAATAGAGATACAGTGACAGTAAGAAGCAGATGCAAGCAGAGCTATGTTACCTCAATTTTAGTGTTGTAACACCCGTTTTGTATCTTTCTAGCCCTTCTAGTGAAATCCAGAACCTGGAACCACTAGCAAATCAGAATCAGTTAGTTTATGGGGATAGTGGGACATCTTAGAATGCGCCCAAAATGGCATGCTGAATAGGGAGCTCCGTAGAGTTAGACAATACAAAAGATTAGGTGCACCTTATTCTGTGTTTTTCTGAGGTTTTATGCACCTTACTGAGGATTCGCAGCCCGGAGCCTTTACCTGAGAGGAATAGCTTCTGGCTTGGTGGTTAGGGGTTGTTCAGCAAGCCGAATGTGTCACTTCTGTTCACTCCTGCTAAGACTGTTTAGGTGTTTTCACTAAACCACAGTAGAGCTTAAGACATCTCTTTTCTTATTTTGCTCAGCAAATTTTGAATTCTTTTTACAGTGGTACAGCTCCAGTAGAAGTAGCAAGAATGCCCCTGTGCCCTGCATAATCTATAGACCTGACTGTTAGCTCACTCTCTTTGTAGTCAGAAGATGCAGGCATAGCATGCCTCAGGAAAGGAGAAAAGTGGGCATGGATCTCCTGCTTGCAGGGTGAGTGTGCAATCTGTGGAACTAATAGTCTTTGTAAATGGCGTTGAGGAAGGTATGGTGTACTGTCCACGTCCTTTTATTTCCTCACAGTTTTGTTTAAAAAGAAAGCGTTGCAGTTTGTGTACAGTCCAGTCTGCTGGGTATCCAGCAGATGTATCTACAGCACATTTCCTCTGACGGCTGAAATGGAAGAATGGCATCTAGGACTGGGGCCTTGATGTAGCTTAGAAACAAAAGGAGCATGGATTTGTTGAGCCATTTTAAGATTTGGATCTTAAGGCTTTATGTGCTTTTCAATTTCAGCATGGAAAATCCAAGTTCTTGCTAGGCTACATTTTTGGATGTAAGGTTCTCTTTGGATTTGTCCAAAAGAGATTTACCAAAACTCATGCGTATAGGTAGTAGCAGATATGGGAACAGCGTACAGGAATTTGTGTATTTGGTCTTTCATAAAATTCTCTCTAAAAGGTTGAAGCCTTTACCTGGCAGGAAAGCGTCTCTCTACAGTCCTGTTTTATTCCACTGACATTTTAATTTCCACTCTGCTTTTTACTCAGATATCTAATTGAGATGTCAGCTGGAGTTCCTAATGATCAGTTGTGATCCATGTTCATGTGGGAAAACAAAGAAAATAGAAATCTGGGAAACGAATCTCCCCGTCCTTTTTCATCCTGATTGTGTGAAATATTGTCTAACTAAGCACACAGGTAAAAGTGGGCTTAAATGCCGAGCTGTTCATATCAAAAATAGGATGTATGGCTTGTGCAAGAAGACAAAATATTTACTTATGCTTTGGTTTATAATTGCTGAACTATTCCTGTAATAGTTTCACTGCTGTCTAGTGGACAGGGAAATTGATATGTAAGTTGTGAACATAAGGACTGTTAGTTATTTTTTAGGCATGCTGAGTCTCTGAAAAGGGAGTTATTGAAGAGTAATTAACATGCATATATTCACACTGTGGTTTACTGCTCAATGATTCTGTGTATAGATAATCCTGTGTTACTGTCTGTGAGAAACTTACGTCCGTTTATTTCTGTCTGGTTTATTCTTATTTCTGCTGAGTCTTTTGGATGGTGACGCTCTTAACATTACTAAAAAGTGAACGTGCTTATGTATTTTCTTGGTATGTTAGTTGCATGCGTAATTACATATTACCGATTATTCTTTCATAGGCATTGAACATTTGTAGATAATCGTCGTCTCATTCTTTTGCCCACTGTATCATGAATATCATCTATGTTCAAGACAACAAATTTGTCCAGAGAAAAAATACTGTACATGTTTGAAAGGGAATAAGATTGCAGGGTTTTTTAATTCCTAGATCAATAGTGCAGTACTTCTAAATGTTTAGATGCAAAAGTACAGATGTAATTTTAACAGCAACTGCTTAGTCTGTGAAGAGACTGTCTTCCCGATCTCACTATGCTGGTGCAAGAGGTTGTCCTCCCCTGCGGTTCGTCGGTTGAGACCGGCGCTGTGCAACGAGGGGGCCGATCTGGCACGGCGTGAGCGGAGGGCACCCGGCGGCCTGCACAGGCGGCAGAGCGGTCACGGGCGCGGGCACGCTCCTGCAGGAAATTACTTAGTCTTGCTTTTAATTTAAGTGCGTGGCCACCCGTTTGTTAGGTATGATACACGTTCTATCCAGGAACTGTGTGAAGTAATACAAAATTTAAAAAATGTAAGTATGTTGTAAAACCGTTGGCAGGGAAAGCCTACTACTTACAGTATTTTAGGAATGAACGCTGAAACGTTTAGATAGTCAAGTAGCATGTTCTCTCTTACAGTTGGAGAGAGAAACTGGTGAGGCGTGACGCCAGTGCCAGACAAACACCAGCTTTTGAAACCCGTGGCATCTTTTGCACGCTACAGCTGACTCGGCTTTAGCGCCGCTTCCTGCTTAAAGCTATGACCCAGAGAAAAGCAGGAAAACTGCAGCGGAGAAGAAACTTGGTGTACGAAATCCACCAGCTGCAAAGTCTCGATGATCAACTCACTTCCGTAACTAGCAGTAACAAGTAAGCGTCTGTTTTCAGAGATAAGGTCCGCGTACCTAGGCTGTGCAGCACGGCGCCGCCAGGTAACGAACCGCC